TTTCTTTCTATCAAAAGCTTCAGAAGCAACTGGATAGAAGGCAAGGAAGACCTTACTTTAACAACAAGCTTTCATAAATGCTCTGTACATCCCTGACTAGCTGCTATGCCAAACATGCAAAACTATGCTCCAACAGATAGTAATAAATTTTATGTACTTTTATGGTTCCCACAAGAATCCTTTTTGCAGAGACAGCCAGTTCCTCTATAGAACTGCAAGCATCAGGTTGAATGAGAAGCTTCTGAACATCAAGAAGGATGTTCTTCCCTGATATCAGGAGAGCTTGAGCTGCTGGCACCACCTCCCTCTCAAGGACCTCATCACCAGATGCTTCGGCCAGTCTAGAATGAAACAAAAGATGTGGCACTCAGCTCAGTTCATGGGTGCTGGTACTGTAAACAAACTGTCTGTGAGGTCACGCACACGTGCCACGTATAGCATCATTCTGCGCAGCTCCCTTTTGAGTTGCAAACCTACATTTCCTTCCTATAATATACAAATTACTTGGTGGTTAGGCTGAGCCCAAATTTCACAATTAAAGAGCTTATATTTTAAAATAAAAATTACCTTCTAGCAAGACAGCTGAGTTCTTCAGTAGCTTTGGCTAATTCTTCTGCAGTTGTCTCTAAATCAGCAAAAGCTTCATGGGTAATTTCTCTCTGCTCAATTGCTATTATTAAATTGTAAAGTTGAGCAATCATGGGCAAAATAATTCTCTGCGTGGATTTGGTATAAACAATAGCACTGATGTCATACAGGGAGAAGCATTCTATTGCTTCTGTTTTGGAAATAAGAGACACAATTATCTGAGCTATATTTATTAAGTAAAAACACTTAAATATTATGATACATCAAATTATAAAATTTGGAAGGATATTTCAGAGGCAAGCTCTTACAAAAGACCATAATAGAAGCAAGTCTATGTATCAGATCCCCACAGATATCTCAATTTTAGTCAGCTCTAAATTTTAAACATCCTCATTCTTTGTCTGACGCTACTGGCATTTCTCTCAACCATGGTGACATTGTGGCTGAGGAGAAATTTTCATAAGGACTGTTAAATCCAAGCTGTACAAAAATCTATTGAAAAGCCATTCAAAACAAACCTAATTAGCTAAATTGGTAATAGCAATGAGTGTTAAAAGTTGATAATGCTGTACATCAAATAATCTCAAAAATCTCTTTTAAAAAAGGAAACCCAGTAATGAATTGCTTTTGCACTACAGACACTGTGAGTGGGTAGCATTGTTTTGGCTACATAAGCAACATCACTCACACACGAACATCATAAATAGAATAATAAAACATGCAGTGCTATTTACTATACTCTAGTTAACAAGCTATCCATAAAATCATAAACATTTTTGAAAATTAGAGAGCTGAGAAAGGTATCTCTTCAATAGCACATCTTCTGACGTGTTTTGCAGAAAAAGTGCTTTTAATATTGCTTATCACAAGAGTTGGCAAATATTTCCTAGGATCATCTCAAATATTCTTCATTTGCCAAACATTATAATATAATATAGTCTAACTATACATATCAAGAAATTCCAATGGACCCAGGGGAAAAGCTGCATGTTTATTTTAGTTATTTATGCATTTCATCTACTACCTCAGTGCAAATGGAGTGTAGGCAATTTTCAGAAATTAAAGCAGACTCTCTCCATTTCCAGGCCTAAATTCTTCGCCCTCCTAATACCAGACTTCCCCCAAAGTTCCCTACAAGATGATACATCTAGCAGTTTCCCCACTTTTATAGACCTACCATCTCCCCTTCTAATGTTACTTTTCCATCTTGGAAGTAGCTCCAGCTATCAGGGAGATGCCCAGCTCAGACCAATGAAGCTGCAATCCTACATGGGGATAAATCTTACTGAACCCAGCGGAACTGATTTCTGAACAGATACATGCATTTGAGTAAGCATATGTTACACTTCCAGTCAAAAAGCTGTTCTTAGATAAATCAAGCATTTCTTAACTAACAATCTGGTCCCTATCCATATACATATCCTACCAATTCTCTACTTTACCAGTCTTTGCCATCTTCTTCCCGTGTGCCATTCTTTGGAGCATAAACAATTTTCCAGTCTCACAGTCCATTAATTAGAAAGCATGGCCTGGAAAGAAAATGAAATAAACTTGGAGCAAGGGAGGAAAAGAAGGAGGAAAAGGAACTGGAGTATAAGAAAAAGACAAAGAGATTCTAAAAGCTGCTTTCTTCCTTGCCCAAAGAGCAATAAGTTCAGATGACTATCAGGGTGGAAGTCAGGAGATAGACCAAAGCTCCGTGGTTGAACACATACTTTGCAAACAGAAAGTCTTAGTTCAGTCCCTGATATCTCTAGGACAGTTTCTAAAGATCAGACAACAAGTGATGTGAAGCTTGAAAACCTGGAGAGGTCTTGTCAGTTAGAGTTGACAAAACTGGACTAGATAGATAAATATTCTGATCCAGTATCAGGCAGTTTCCTCTGAATGGATATATTCCATTTTCTTGATCTATGAGGACACTTAAAAATAAGGTTTCAAATCAGCCTGAAAATACAAAGACTCATAGACTGCTGAACCATGAATTCACTTCGTAATTCTCTTTTCATCATAAAAGGTAAAAATGACAACTCATGTGGTCTTCCTTTTCAAGGAACCATTCAGATAGACACCAGCTCAAGGGAGATGCTTGCAACAGAGAAAAAGAGCGAGACAATAATTTCCTTTGCTACTTAAGGTGGGTTCTGGTAAGTTCTGAGCATGCACTTTTCATTGATATGTGCAACGTGAGAGGTCAGCTTTAATAAATAATTTACACAGGCTTATTTACTAGTAATAGGAGCCCTGAGAAGATGAGATGTGGTGAATTTCCAAAGCCTAAATGATCAGTCAGTCACAACTGTGGTAGAAATAACCCTGTGTTTACTATTAAAATCCCTCCCCCAAAAAGGAATAGAGAAAAAGAGGCAATAAGCTTTGAATCATATAGTCATGGCCTGGTGTGTAGATTGCTCCATATTGTATCTGAAGTTCAGCAGGAGAAATCCTGCATCCATGCCTGAACAACAGGCAAAATGCTGGTTAAAAACTTTAAGCTTTTGAACTCTATACCAATGGTTTAGAAACTAGCAGGGGACAACAGAAATCAATATTGCACACTTTCATGTAGGCAAGGATACTACAAGGTGGGAAACTCCTGTTCTTTGTATATCATGGGCTGAGGAACTCAACTCTTTCTATATTTGAAGAAACTTTTTACCATCAAGAGTCCCCTATCAGGGAATTTGGATTCCATACACTTGTTTCATTTTCCATGTTTAAGTAAAATAATTTAAATATTACTAATTTAATTGGATAACATAACATGAATATGTAAAACTAGTTTTGCTTAGCACGTAAGAGATGCATCATTCGTGTGGGCTTCCTTCCTTTTTCTTTTGCGTATAACAAGCATCTTCAATTTTTAAAAACCTAGGAGAGCCCTGCTAGGTCAGACCAAATGCTTCTTTAGTCCAGCGCTATATTCCTACAGCAGCCACCAAGGAAGCCCACCAACAGGCCCCCTTCCCCACCGTTGGTACCCTGAAATTCTTACTGACAGATACACTGCCTTTGATCTCTCTCTCTGTCTTGAAGAAGCCTTTATGTGGGTATTCAGAGTCAGCCCCAACTTGATGGCATGTAATCAATCAAAATCAATCTCTCTCTCTCAACTGCCAAAGACCCCAAAAGGCAGTGGCAGTGATATGACGTCACCGGAGAAGGTGGGGGCAGATTTTTAAAAATTTAGCCCTGTTCTCTTTCCTCATTTATTTTTTTTTAATTACGTTAGCTGCATTAAAGCCTATCAGAGGCTTAGCATATCAATTTTTTATTCCTGAAAAAAGTTGAAAATCACGCGGTCATCTTCGGCAGCTTGAAACACATTGAAATGGTACATTTTCCGGGGACAAAAAAGCACACGTCACACAGCCTCCCCCCGAAATGCCTATGGCCGGCAGTGCCTTGCAGCCAAGCTAGCCTTCTATTTGCCTAACACCCTTTAAAGCCGTCCCGGCAGCTGGCGCCCACCCGCGCGTGCACGATACAGCGGACGGCGTGAAGGCGCCCGCCCCTGAAGTCTCTCTGCGGCTGAGCTTTACGGGTTGCCTCGCCTCCTCTCTTCCTAACATCCGGGGGGAGACCCGGGGGTGCGCTTCCAGTTATGCCTCAACGTGACTCCCAGGGTCCCGCAGGCTGGCAGAGGGAGGGGAGCGCGGACCCGGTTCCCGCAGGCCACACCCAGTGCTGTAGCGGGATGGAGGAGGAGGAAGGGCGCTCCCCGTGCCGTTTCCCTGCACCCCAAGCGCCCGCTGAAGCGCCTCCTTTGCTCCGCTCCCCACCAACCCTGTTCGAAACGCAGCGACGCTGGGCCAGACGGGTCTTTGCTCTTTTTTACGAGGACCCGAAGGAGCCGATGGTCAGGGCCAGACCGCTGCAAGGTTCCCTCGGCTCGTGGAGGTTCCCCTCCTTCGCCTGAATGGAGGGTGTGACGGGCCGGGCAGCAAAAACTAGAGCCTCCTGCTCCGCGTTATTGGCTGCAAAACAGATCGTAAGTATTTCTCGTGAAAACCAGCCTGCCATCCTCCCTGAAACTGGATAGGCTCCGAATCGA